CTTTGGGGTTATAATATAGGGTTCTCACCCAGTTAATGAATGTATCTCCAAAACCAAATTGAGCTAATACCTTAAATAAGTAGGGCCATTCCAGCCTATCAAAGGCTTTTTCCGCGTCTAACGCCACAGCCACTGTGTGGTCCGGCCTTGATTTTGCTAAATGAATTATATTGAAGAACCTACTTAAGTTATTGGCAGATAGTCGTTTTTGGATGAAGCCGCTCTGATCTGGATTAATTATTTTTGGTAATACTAGGCTAAGCCTGTTTGCTAACACTTTAGAGATCAATTTATAATCTGAGTTCAGTAATGAAATAGGCCTGTAAGAGGCGCATTTTAGTGGATCTTTATCTTTTTTTAATATAACTGTGATTATAGCAGTCGTAGATGATTCTGGAAGCCTATGCGTCTTAGATGAAAGATTTATTACATCCATAATCAGTGGTGTGAGTAAATCTTTGAATTCCTTATAGAATTCAGGTGGGAAACCATCCTCTCCTGGGGATTTATTAGACTGAAGTGAATTGAGAGCTTTTATTATTTCTGCCTGCGTGAAGGGGAGGTCCACATTTTTTTTATCTTCTTCACTAATTTTTTGTAATTCGATTCTAGATAGAAAATTGTCTATATGGGTCAAATCTTTAGGCAGCTCTGATTTGTACAAATTTGAATAAAAGTGTTTAACCTCTTAACCTTCTCCAGAGCGTCGGCGCACTGAAGCGTTTTTTTTTTTATTTAGTTCAAATATACTATCAGATTTAATGTTATACCTTGACAAACTATACATCATTAAAAAGATATAAGACTCAAGATTCAGTATTTGACCACTATTGTATTCTGAGAAACTTATAGTGACAGTTATGTCTTAATTTGTGTCAGGAGTTATGAAATGAAAAAAATGAGTCGATACCTTTAATATGAATTATGAGCGTCAGCTGGTCCATTCATAAAAAACACTCCGTGCTGTCGTCATGATAGCGATTCACAAAACAACGTCCCTGAGGGCTTTTAGCTCAACAATGTGCAGATGTGGAGAAATATTGATATATTCTCATAGATTCACATCATATTTCTATAGACAGGAATAATATTTATTGAATTTATACCCAAATGCGTCGATGTAATCATAATGATCGCTTCTTACTGAGATGTGCTGTGTTTTCCATTCATACCAATAGCATGGGGGCGCTATTATGTCCAATAAAAGTCCATATATGGATCATGAAGAAGACCCATAGTCATGTGACATTCCAGGACGTCACTGAGTGATACAGAAAGTACAGAGATCGCTGTAACATGCAGATAAAGATGTTTTGAAGACAATAAACATGATTGCAATGATATTTGAGTTACCTGTGTTCTTCAAGCCATGCCAGGTATTTCATAATAATAGATTATATTTATAATGTAATGCTAATCGATATAGATTTCATCATCGTTCAGAACACTAAATAATACATTTTCTGTCTGATTTTTTTTTTTATCTGAAGCCAAGTTAGATCACAGAAGATTATTTAAAACACTAGACTTGCGTTATATAGTGAGTTTGGAGCGCAAACATAGTTTTAATCTCATAAATGGTCGTGTATTGATGGTGTGCTAAGCTAACATGCTAGCGAGCCCAGGCGCACCTGCCACGAGCAGTTATTGTTTTATGATTTTTTTCTAAATAGGAATGCTTACTGAAATGTTTCAGTGCATTTGATACCAGTTTCAAATATTTAGTGAGAACTTTGATAAAAGAAATTAGGGTTTGAAACCCTATGAATAGCTTGTGAATAGCCAGTCGTTAGTAGCTATAATGCAGACAAAAGAAATGCATATTTAGAGCCATAATAACCAGTCTGGAGAGGTGTAAATGTGTGCAGGGGAGACTGAGACTGAATGGGGCACCACAAAACAATAGAGACAATAGACTGAATAGATGACTCAGAAGATGACTAAACATCAGTTTGCTAATAGAGTCTAATCAAAATAAAGTAATTTGACATGATCTTGAAAAACATTGAACTAAATACAGAGCTTTATACTTATCATTTTCAGATTTTAAATATAAAATGGTCAGACATGTGGCTTTAGCTGCAGTGCATTTCTAGATTGCTCCAGGGCCAACTTCAATTTTATTTTCATGAAGATGTTTCATAAAAATAAATTTCTAATAACTTTACAAAACTTTGAAGCTATTTAAAATTGTTTTTTTCATTATGACAATAATTAATTCTACATTTACAATAAACAACCAGGTGTCAGCTTTCAAATGAGATCATACTTGTGCTTTTAGTGCAAAGGGTTCATGAACTGTATCTGTTTTAGTTTGGGTATGTCATTTCTGGGGATTTTTCAAAAGTGGGCTTGAAGCTTAACAGATTAAATGTATCATTAATTTCTGTTGGACTATATGAGATCGAGCCTGTTTCAGTTTGAATAGCATTAATACTTCTATTGTTTTCCTCTGTCTTCAGTTGCCAGGATAATATTTTATGTGCTTTCTCTCCCAATTCATAATACCTCTGTCTAGTTCTTAAAATGGCTCTTTCAATTTTGTAAGTGTCTAATGTATTGTATTGGAGTTTTTTCTGAACTAAGGATTGATATGTGTCAGAAGAACCATTTCTTTGATAATCTTTTTCTAGGGATAATATTTCTTTTTCTAATTTGTCAATATCTTCTGTATATTGCCTTTTCAGGCCTTTTGTATAGGAGATTATTTGCCCTCTCAAATAGGCTTTCAGCGTATCCCATAAAATAAAACTATCGGGGGAGGAAGCACAGTTTGTTTCACAAAAGAACTTAATCTGGTCTCTTATAAATGTGCAAAATTCAGTTCTTTGTAGAAAAGTGGGATTAAGGCGCCACCTATATGCTGTTTTAGGTTTATCTGGAAACAAGATGGACAAAGTCAGTGCCGAATGATCCGATAACGTTCTAGATAAATAATCAGAGTCTAATACTCTATGGAATAATTGGGTGGATAATAGGAATAAATCAATTCTAGTATGGGATTTATGAGGGCATGAATAAAAGGAATAATCCCGAGTCTGAGGGTGCATCCGCCTCCAGATATCTATTAAATTTAGATCTTTCATATATGTTTGAGTGGTCTTGGCTGCTTTTGAATTTGAAATGGTCTTTGTCGATTTGTCCATTATAGGATCTAAGCAAAAGTTAAAGTCCCCTCCTATAAGTATATTTTGTTGCCCCCCCGCAGCCTTTAGAAACATATTTTGCATGAACAATTCATCATCATAATTCGGTGCATATAAATTTAGGAGTGACCATTGTTCTGAGAATATTCTACAATTAACAAAAACATATCGTCCTGAGGAGTCAATATCAGTATCAAGTATTTCCAAAGGTGTATTTTTATTTATTAAGATGGCTACTCCTCTGGCTCTTGAATTGAATGAGGATGACACTACCTGCCCCACCCATTCTCTCTTTAATTTTTTGTGTTCCTGCGCAGTGAGGTGAGTTTCTTGTAGGAAAACTAAATCTACTTTTAACTTTTTAAGGTATGCCAAAACCCTTTTCCTTTTAATCGGCCCATTCAATCCATTAACATTAAAACTGACAAATTTCAATACTCTATCCACTAAGTTCTTTCTTATTTATGAGCTTCATTCGACCTCTCACAATATTACCATAAACAGAGCATATGTAAACATGTAAGCAACAAATAAATGGAGCACCCAAACAAAAATTACCCCAAAAAACACATAAAGAACCCCCTAGCGCCATCTTCAAAAAGTGTGGCACACTTCCCTTCCTCTAGAAAGGTCTTGTATCCGTGAACAACTATTCTAACTTAAACTTAAAGATATTCTGCCCCCCAGGGGCTCTCCGCTATATAATATAGAATATTATATGAAACACTCTAAAATAGAACTGACTGTAATAAGATAACCACTCAAGTAGGTGAACAATATCGTAAAATTGTGGTGTCTTAACGTTACAGTTTGCACAATGGTTGAGATTAAGAAGGTGCGTCAGGTCATTTGTTTACACTTCTCTTCCATTTTCAAGTGTTCTCTCTCACAAATGCTGCTGCTTCTCTTGGCGTTTTAAATGTTTTCTTTTTCCCATCTGAGAGCGTTACCCTCAACGTAGCGGGATAAAGTAAAGCAAACTGGATACCTTTGGACTTCAGCTCTTTCTTTACCCGATCATATTCCTTTCGGCGCTTCACCAAATTGGCACTCAGGTCAGGAAAAAACATAACCGGCGCATTCTCGTACAATATGGGACCGTTGCTTTCCCTGGACAATTTTGCTGCCGTACGAAGTATCTTCTCCCGGTCCTGATATTTCAGCAGACGTATCAACACAGCCCTCGGCCTTTCCTCCGCGGATGGTCTTGGCGCGGGCGTCCGATGTGCTCGCTCTATTATCAGCGGCTCGGGAAAGTGCTCTTGACCCAATACAGTCGGAAGCCAATCGGCGAAAAAAGTGACCGGGTCACTCCCCTCACACCCTTCACGCACGTTGAGAACGCGGATATTATTGCGTCTGCTGTAGTTCTCAAGTGACTCAACTTTCTCCATCAAATATTAATACCCCCCCCCCCCCGTTCCTTGTTTCCATTTCAGAAAGTTGGCAACCCTAAGTTGAACACCGTCATTAGAACTCTATAACCGCCAAAACCGTGCTATTAAAATATTTTTTACAAACATTATTTATCATAGAGAATGTTTAAATACTAATATCAGCTTAAGAGGGAAATGGAGGCTGCTACTGCTGGAGATGATTCGGGAGAGGTCTGTGCCCCTTTACGGATCAGAGCGCGCGCGCTGACATGGAGTAAGGGCCGTTACATAGTCAACGCAAGCAAGCTACGCGAGTTACGCGCTCCCTTTCATAGTCATAATAGTAGAAGCAAGCGTCACTGGCGATGCGTCAAATGCAATACACCGCTCACGCAACAGGGGGTAGTAGATTCTTTATTTATAGGGTGATGTAGTAGAATCGGGTCACGTCATTTTCAGATTAAAATGGCAACTGAAGAGGAGTGCATATTGCTGATATTACTTAGGCGGCAACAAAGAGAGTGCAGAGATAGGCAGTGGTATGTTCGCCCTTTAAATCAAAGAAGAGATCAGGATGGGGAGTTTATGTCTCTGGTGCTTCCCATGCGAAGCCTGGACGAGGAGAGACATTTCCAGTATTTTAGGATGTCGGCGCCAAAATTCGATCAACTGCTCTCACAAGTCGTCCGCTTTCTCCCGGACACTCACCAAAATCACCGCAACCCGATTGGAGCTTCGCAAAGGCTTGCAGTGACTTAGCGGTACCTTACGACAGGCATCAGCCTGCAGGCACTTTCTGCCAGCTACAAAATGGGCACCAGCACTGTTTCGGGCATTGTTGATGTGTTGTGCCATCTGGAATGCCCTTCAGGGGGAGTTCATGGCCTTTCCTTCGCGCAGTCAGTGGCAGGACATAGCGGAGGACTTTTGGAGACAGTGGCAGTTTCCCCTATGTGTCGGAGCGATTGATGGGAAGCATGTTCGCATCAGAGCACCACCACGATCAGGCAGCGACTTCTACAATTACAAAGGTTTTTTTTCTATTATCCTAATGGCAGCTGCTGATGCGAACTATAGATTTATTTACGTCGATGTTGGCGCATTCGGGCGTGAGAGCGATGGAGGTGTTTTGGGCCGCAGTGCGTTTGGATCCAGACTGGCAGAGGGAAAGCTCAATCTACCTGCTCCTGCTGTCCTACCGGGCACCACAACGCCCAGTCCTTTTTTTTTCCTGGGGGATGAGGCATTTCCCTTACAGGAGAACCTGATGCGACCCTATCCAGGTGAGAATAAAAATAATTGATAGCAGACCTGCTCAATAAAATAGCCCAGAAGCAATGAAAAAGAGAGCGCGCACTGGTCTTAGCTCGTTTATAGATTGTTCTGTGCCATTACGCACAGTGTGCGTAATTGGCGTCAGCCAAGTCATCTGTTCTGTCTAGTTACTGCACTTACACTTATTTTTTTTTTTATTAAGGCACGAACCTGCAGGATAGGAAGCGAATTTACAATTACCGACAGGCCAGGGCGAGACGCGTGGTGGAGAATGCCTTCGGTATATTGGCTGCGCGCTTCCGAATTATCAGCCGCCCGATTGACTGCAAACCTGAAAAAGCGGTGAAGCTCGTGAAGGCGTGCGTGGCTCTCCACAACTTTCTGGCATCCACTGAACGTGCCAGATACATGCCCGCCACCTTTGTGGATGCGACGTCTGACACCGGAGAGGTCCAGCCTGGAGAGTGGAGGCAGCACGTTGTGGGGGACCAGAACATGGTCGACGGACCACGGTGTTCGGTCGGCAGCAGCAGACCCTCCCGGAAAGCGGCACTTGTCAGGGAGCAGCTGGCTGATTACTTTTTATCAGATGCTGGCGTGTTTCCCCACCAGTACAGTGTGCTACGATTGGGTACCACTGACCAATAAATTGATAAAATGTCGCTTTGAAGCATGAGTTTTTTTATTATTTAACACTTTACACATTTTAACTTATTTGGTATTATGTGAAAACCATTACACATTTTTTATAATTTGGTATTATGTAAATTATGTAAAAACCATTACACATTTTAACTAATTTGGTATTTTAATTCATATCCATAAACCATTAATTCATATCCATATAAAATTAGGCCTTCTGAATGTAAAGCCTATTGAAATGGTGACGGTGTAATTAATTTTCATAGGCTACTGAACTTTGTTAACATGTTTCACACAGAACACGACCTAACAAATGTAACATATCAGTAACAGCATGTAGCCTACAATATTGGTAGACAAATTGTCCAATTAAAAGGGCTCATACTGCCGCATGAGCTGTTTGATGTCGCGCATCAAAATTGCGCTTTGTTCCTGTGGGAGATTTTGAAGAAAATGGGACAGGTAATTACAAAAAGTGGAGTGTATGTCCCTCTTTTCGCTTTCCCGTACCCTCTCCTTCTCCCTCTCTCTCTCTCTATCACTCTCTCTCTCCCACTCTCTCTCTCCTGCCTTATTTCCTGCAGCCTGTCGAGGAGCGTACGCTCACATGGATCCATCGGCCTGTGGCTTTTGCGCTTCCTTTTACCGCCACGGGAGGCTGATGATGTCGGGGTGGTAGGGGGATGAGATGGTGTAGAAACGGTCGAACCCACTAGTGTCGGGGTGGTGGGAGGGTCAGATATAAGTGGGGAACACTGGGATATGGATGAGTCGGGATTGGGGGTTGATGGAGGTGGCTGATCTCCCTGCGCAATAATGCTTTCCTCCTCTTCATCATCATCGTCGCCCTTACCGTCTCCCACACCTGCCTATACAGAAATAAAATGTAGGCCTACTCCTGTTTCAAACGTCCTGACCAAATCGGTAGCCTACCATTCTCAGTAAATAACAGTTATAAAGACATATAAATAATAAAATATTAAACCATAACTTAAATTTAAATGTACAAATTGAATGGATTTGTATACACACACATCTCTCTCTCTCTCCTGCTGTAGGCTATTTCAGCTTCTCGTCTCTAGAAGGGAACACAGCATTGACTTCTAGATAGGCTACACACACAACATTGTTTACATACCGAAAAATTTGACTCTGTAGTCCTTTGTGTCACAAGGTGACGAACCAGCAGCGGAACTATATATTCCACGGAGGAATGTTTCCGCCCGGAGCGCTTTCGACGCAACACCCAGCCAGCCTGGTATGCGTCGCTGCCATGGCAACAGCAGCCGCTGATGACAGAGTGACAGCAGGTGCGGCGCATCAAGGGGCTGTTTGGTGATTGGGACACACAGCGTCTTGAAACAGATAAAAACCAAGCTTTGGGAGACCAATGTAGTTCAGTGCAGTGTTCTGTGTTCGGTGTTCGGGTGCTGTGTCCTGACTTTGTTCCGTCGAGGAGGGCTGAGAGTTTCTGTGGGACAAATTGACTGGTGAGATCGACCCGCGGAAGGGAGTCCGCTACGAAAGATTGGGTGGTGTGGAACAGAGAAGCAGAGGAGAAGTCGCCTTGGAGATATCAAGTCCCCTTCTTGGGTAGAGATAAGTGCAAACCTTCTACTGGCCGTCTGGTATGCGATTTATACACCAAGATACTGTATATGAAGAGAAGCGATCTAGGAACAGGAGTCTAGACACCGTAATGAGAAGACAGCTGTTGTGATGCATGATTGAGGTCGCTATATATTCTTTCGTCTTACTGTCCCTGCTGTTCAGAACAAGGAGGTGGGCTGTGGCCTTATATTTCACAGAGTGGTTGAGAGTGACGTGAGTTGATGCTGTGCCCCACCGTGTGTGTTTGAAGTGAAGTTACTGCATGCTTACTATACCGAATTCTGTCACGTGCCTATCGGCCTTGCCCTGTGTTGCAGTTTGGGGCTGCTGAAGAAGAGATTGAGTGACGGTGGAATTTAAAGCTTGCTGTGTTCTGATTCATCATTGATGCTGTCTTGGAGAACGGAGGAAAACCAGTTATCTGCTGTTCTGAGTGTCCCCCAGCTAAAGCTGCTTGTATACTGTCCCATCCTCACTGTCGTGGAGAGCGGAGAAAACCCAGTTATCTGTTGTTCTGAGTGTTGTACATTCCAGGCCTGCTGTGTTCTGATTCATCATTGATGCTGTCCTGGAGAACGGAGGAAATCCAGTTATCTGCTGTTCTGAGTGTCCCCCAGCTAAAGCCGCTTGCATACTGTTCCATCCTCACTGTCGTGGAGAGCGGAGGAAATCCAGTTATCTGTTGTTCGGAGTGTTGTACATTCCAAGCTTGCTGTGTTCTGATTCATCATTGATGCTGTCCTGGAGAACGGAGGAAATCCAGTTATCTGTTGTTCTAAGTGTCGTACATTCCAAGCCGGCTGTGTACTGATTCATCATCGATGCTGTCTTGGAGAACGGAGGAAAACCAGTTATCTGCTGTTCTGAGTGTCCCCCAGCTAAAGCCGCTTGTAGACTGTCCCATCCTCACTGTCGTGGAGAGCGGAGAAAACCCAGGTATCTGTTGTTTTGAGTGTTGTACATTCCAAGCCTGCTGTGTTCTGATTCATCATTGATGCTATCTTGGAGAACGGAGGAAAACCAGTTATCTGTTGTTCTGAGTGTCCCCCAGCTAAAGCCGCTTGCATACTGTTCGATCCTCACTGTCGTGGAGAGTGGAGAAAACCCAGGTATCTGTTGTTCTGAGTATTGTACATTCCAAGCCTGCTGTGTTCTGATTCATCATTGACGCTGTCCTGGAGAACGGAGGAAATCCAGTTATCTGCTGTTCTGAGTGTCCCCCATCTAAAGCCGCTTGCATTCTGTGTCATCAACACTGCCGTGGGCTTTCCGTATCCCCTGTATAGGGAAGAACCAACCGTACTCGAAGTACCCACCTGCTGTCTAGTCGACGCCCCTTTCACAGCCGTAAGCTTTCTGCATCCCCTGTATAAGGAAGAACCAACCGTACTCGAAGTACCCACCTGCTGTCTAGTCGACGCCCCTTTCACAGCCGTAAGCTTCCTGCATCCCCTGTATAGGGAAGAACCAACCGTACTCGAAGTACCCACCTGCTGTCTAGTCGACGCCCCTTTCACAGCCGTAAGCTTTCTGCATCCCCTGTATAGGGAAGAACCAACCGTACTCGAAGTACCCACCTGCTGTCTAGTCGACGCCCCTTTCACAGCCGTAAGCTTTCTGCATCCCCTGTATAGGGAAGAACCAACCGTACTCGAAGTACCCACCTGCTGTCTAGTCGGCGCCCCTTCCACAGCCGTAAGCTTCCTGCATCCCCTGTATAGGGAAGAACCAACCGTACTCGAAGTACCCACCTGCTGTCTAGTCGACGCCCCTTCACAGCCGTAAGCTTTCTGCATCCCCTGTATAGGGAAGAACCAACCGTACTCGAAGTACCCACTTGCTGTCTAGTCGACGCCCCTTCACAGCCGTAAGCTTTCTGCATCCCCTGTATAGGGAAGAACCAACCGTACTCGAAGTACCCACCTGCTGTCTAGTCGACGCCCCTTTCACAGCCGTAAGCTTCCTGCATCCCCTGTATAGGGAAGAACCAACCGTACTCGAAGTACCCACCTGCTGTCTAGTCGACGCCCCTTTCACAGCCGTAAGCTTTCTGCATCCCCTGTATAGGGAAGAACCAACCGTACTCGAAGTACCCACCTGCTGTCTAGTCGACGCCCCTCTTCACCGCTGTAAACTTCTGTACTTGGGAGATCGAGAAGAGTACAGTCCGCTCAGAGCCCGAGAAGGATAAGCCGTGCTTAGAGTACTTACCTGCTGGTCAAATCCGCGTCCCCTCCATAGCCGAGAGCCTCGGCACCCGAAGAGTCTGAGGGGTTGAGTGGACCGAGTCCCCGCCTGTTGTCCAGCCGACGTCCCGGCGGCCACTGGATGCTGGGGAGGAAGGAGGAGTTTTAATTAGGATATACAAATTCTTTTAATCAATAAAGCCTGTTACATTTTACTTTCCTTGTCCGCCTGGTTTCTGGTTTGCTCCTCAGTGGTACATTCTAAAGGGAGGGGGTAGACCCAGTCGACTCTCCCGACCTGTGACAGATTATTGGCGTAGTCGGCAGGGTTACCACTGAGTTGAGCCACCAGAAGCCGTTATGGCAGATGAAGAGGCACCGGGAGCACGAAGACAAGCCATGCCCATATTCATGGGAGCCCCGTGGGCCCAGAAGTACCAAGGTCCGGGATCGGAGATGAGTCTGTCGACATGGAGGGCCCAGGTCGAATATTTAGTCGGGCTCCAGGGTTTGGACGCCCCTCAGGGAGTGCAGTTCATCTTAAATTCCTTGGAAGGAGAAGCACTGAGGGAAGTGCGAGCAGCGCCAGAAGCGAACCGTACCACGGCTCAAGCTATCTTTGACTTCCTTTCGGGGCAATACGGCGATACCACTCCCGTAGCCGTTCTGCGAACACAGTTCTTCAACTGCAAACAAGGGCCGCGACAGACCATCCGGGCATTCACGCTACAGCTAAGAGAGCAGTTCGCTAGGCTAAGGGGAAGGCAAGACCATGGTCTAGGGGGTGAAGAGAGTCTGCTGCGAGACCAATTCCTCCTGGGGCTACGGGAAGGCCCCGTACGCCAAAGCCTGCGAATACAAGTCCGCCGGAACCCGGACTCGTCTTTTGACGAACTGAGGCAAGAGGCTTTGGCCTTGGAACGGGATCACACGGTAGAGCCCTCAACGTGCATGGCTGCGAGCGCACCCGTCGACCCCCCACGCCCGGTTGAAGCGGAATGGAGACGTGTGTTACGAGAGGAGTTGAAAAAGGACGTCCAGGAACAGCTGGCCGAGCTATCCAATTCCTTCAGAGAAGAGCTCCGGCGTGAACGTTCCAGTCCATTGCTCCGAGAGCGGACCTATTCAGCTGGGAGCCGATTCCCAGAACGACGCCCAGCTAGGCCGATGGGGCCACGGTTCAGGTGGGACGAACAGGGACGCCCCATT